TTTACAATTTCAGGTGAAAGCCAGAAAGTCAACTATGACCATTTTTAAACTGAAAAAAGGGTCTTATATTTCTATAGTATAAATCGATGGTTTCAAATTTTGATATATCATAAATATAAAGATAGAGAACAGAAAATATCAATTAAAAATTTTTTATTCTATTCTAGAACAAACAATTCCAATTCAACCAGAATGGCCATTTTCATCCAAACCAAAAAATAAGGTTTTATAAGTAAGACCACAGGTTCCCAAAATATTTCGTGTCATGAACTCATTAGGCTTTGCAATGAACCCTTTATTTACCCGAAATCGATTTTTGAAGTAAAACTTCTTTAGACGCGACTAGGGTGTAGATTTATAGGTGCAATATCTGTCTTGCCTAAGAATGTTTTCCATTTTAATAACTTCAAGATTTCACTGTGAGAGCAAATATTATAGAACTTATCAATCAGCAATTACTGGATTTCCCTAATGAAGATTTGTTTCTAAAAGCTAATTACAATGACAAACCGATCATGTCATACTTAAAGTATGACTTTAATTGCTTTATTGTTTTTAAATATTATACATATTTTTAATGCTATTATAAATATATAATTTATAATTTATCATTATATAAATATGTATAATGGTTGACACTAATAAATATGTGCATCACGAGTGTAACCATATTACTAATAAACATTATTCAAAATTGTTATATGATGTATTTATTTTTACTTAAATGCCATCTTGTACAGTAGCAAATAAGTTTTACTTCAATCGCATGTGAACCTTACACGCACTCTTTTTTTTATAACTCTATAGGAATATGCAATATTTTTTGCTTTCTAGGTATCTTCATTCATACTCCTGACCCCCATTTCTATTTTGTGGACCTCTAAATTTTTTTGCGCTGGCCCCCTTAGAAAGTTGCCATGAAACCTTGGGGGTCAATATAGACTACTTTTGGAACCACTGAGTTAGAACAATATAGAGTAAAATGACGGTTTCAAATTCTGATATAAAATGTAGAGAACAAAAGACTAATTGAACAAATAGAGTATGATTTTTTATCAAGGTTCTGTATACTACCTACAATTCCATTTGAGCCAATTCTATGCTCAACTGGATTTTTTTTTATTTACAATATATGTTACAACTGCTGAATATTTTAACATCTAGTAACAATAATGAACAATCACATAAATTTAAATAAAAAAGATGCCAAAATAAAGGATAGTTTTTTCCATTAAAATGATAACTGAAAAATAAAGCCTTATAATTTGATTATCCCTTGAAAGTTGTCAGGAATCTCTATGTTAGATCAATATAGAGTAAAATGATGATTTCAAATTCTGATAAAAAATGTAGAGAACTTTTATATTCTAGACATTTTTTCCACATTTTTGTCAAGGTTCAGTACACTATCTACAATCCTATTTAGGCCAATTCTATGGTAAACTAGGAAATAAAGCCTTTTAATTTGAAACCCCCCCCTTGAAGGTTGTCAAGGACCCCTGAGAATCTATATGGTCCACTTTGGAAATCATTGATGAACATAGTATAAATCAATAATTATTTTTTTTTAGAAAGAAATGATCAAAAATAAAATTCAGATTATAATCATAGTTTTATTTCAAAACAAAAATTGATGAGCCACATAATTTTACTTCATGTGGAAAACATACTTTATTTCATTAGTTTGGGTAAAAAAAAGGTTATCACAAACCTAACAAATGAAGAATAAAATAATCAAGAAAAGACAAAATTAATTATAAATCATCAACATTAGTTTGGGTAAAAAAAAGGTCATCACAAACTTAACAAATGAATAATAAAATAATCAAGAAAAGACAAAATTAATTATAAATCTAAATATAAAAATTATATCCTAATGAAGAAAACAAATTTCACAACTGTACAATAAATAGAGCTTTAAAGAAATGATAATTATCATTATTATATTTTTGTATTTTCTACAAATATTTGTGAATAAAATAACAATTACTCTCGTATTTTAAAATTATATTTTTTCTGCTGCTGCACTTCAAAAAATATTAAAATAAAGGGTCCATAGAATCTTCATTTCTTTGCACATTTGCTTGAAATGTTAAATTAATTATTATTATAGAAAAAAAAATCAGAAAAGGTTTCAAAAATACAATAGTTAAATTATATAAACATTAATTTATTTTTTATTAAAGAGAAATTACTGATTCAGTTGAAAATCCTTTTTATTAATTTATTGTGAAGAACATTTCATTCGTTGTTCTTATATATTTTTTACACACTAGATTTGTGTATAAAAATGATATTTGATTGTTTTTATAAAGATGGCCACAGTCAAAGTCTTAACCAATAGGTTTAAGAAATTTTGAATAATATTAATAATTTCATCCAAATTATGATATTTATTTGAAATAATAATCTTTTTTTTAAATATTTTTTCGTGCAAATAAATTTCGAGCAATTATTTGAATTTACTTAGACGTAAAAGTATGTTTTCTGATTCGTATTTAACCATAAATACTAAAAAAATAATCCTAATTCGTAAAAAAATATATAATACAAAATGATATTTTATTACACGAAAAATTAAAACCTCTCTATATAAAAAAACTACATTAACCATTTTAAAATTATAAATTAGTATGCATATGATGCTTTACCCAAAAATTTAATTTTTGATAAATAATTATGACAAGCTTTCTTTTCAAAACCGAGGGCCCCCCGAAAACGTATTCACATTATCGAAATGGAACTAGTTACATGGAATATTACACAATTAATTACATAATATTACGGAAACCCAACAAAAAATAATTTCAATTTATTGCTTGAAATGTTGAGAAACAACGATAGGTTAATAAAATTGAATTTTTTAGATATAACACAAATTTTACTCTAACCTTATTTTTGACATTTAGAAATAGGAAAATATTGTAGTTTATATTTAATGTTTGAAATCAGCGTTTAAATTGTTTAATTTTAAAATTGTCATTGGTTATTTAATATTTGAGTATGAAAAATTTGTGACAAGTACAGAGAAAATTCTATAACAGGGTTATTTTTGCTACGAGTATATAAATAATATGATTATAATGTACACAAAACAGGTTTCACAAAATTACTAAAACTTCAATAATGCAATTTTGCAAAAAGTTTAGTTTTATATCAATTAATATTGATTATAAATAAATTTGTAAGGTGTTATAAGCAAAATGGAGATATTTCCGATTAATTTTAGATGTTTTTATTATGTGACACAAAAAACCTTGTGTGACTAAATTATAAAAACGATGATTTAAACTTTATGCATATTTTACGAAATTAATATCACGTTGATTTATTGACAAACTATTGGTAAATAACGACGATTAATAATCAAAAGTTATTTCGGCGCTATAACACAAATTTGACTGCGAGAATCTTGTATTTCACTAATGACCGAGCGTTTGGAAATAGGAGCTTTGACTTTGATATGTAATCATTTGTAATTTTGTACAATTTCAATAATTTTAACTTACCTCATGGCGCGTATATCATGCCTTCATAGACGCATCTGACCCTAATGTCGAATTTCTGAAACAATACAGCCTAATTACTCGACATTATCAAAACATTGAAAGTCTGTGCAATGGTCCAGATGCAAACGTAACGCGAATAGGCCATTACAGAAATGTTGAACATACGAAAAATACGATTTTTACAAAATTCCCGTATCATATTTATAGTTTTTCGATTCTGACATTGGTTATTTATCAAAATAAGAACGTTCTAATGACGCAAAGCCTGAGGCTGAAAGGGACGCAGCCATTTTGAATTTCCTTGGGGGAGTGTGCCACGGTACGCGCATTTGTCAAGAACGATTTCAAATTAGCTTAGATTTTCATTCCATACCTTGGATCATATTGATGTATTCCTATAATCCGATAATCGCCTCCAAAAACACTTTCACAAGTAAAATTGTATCTTTAACAACTCAAACGGCACTCGATAATATCAGCTTACCCCATTTGCATGGCACACTTTTAACACAAAATTTTCACTTTCCACGTTACAAAACACAAAACATTTAATAAAAACACATAGGTTCTCTCTTGCATTGGCATAGTTTTGTTAAAATTTATTATAAAACTTGTCGTAAACCATTAGAATTTCAACACAAATATTATATTCGGTACGAACAATAACAACGGGCGCCATTTGCATTTCCTAACTTGACATGCGCATTGGCGCTCAGCATTCTGGGTAATTTCTTAAGTCCAATATCATTTTAATAAAACCGTAATAAAATGAATATTTTAGATATCTTTTGAATTTTATTCACGTAATTGGAATAAAATATCTATCTAATTTTGAATATGCATGAAATGAAGCATTGTGAATAAAATAAGTTCAATGACAAGTCAGCTGATTTGGTTTGAGGTTAACTGCTAAGAAACGCCATAGAGTTAACTCTGTGGTCTTAGAGTAGTCGTTGGGCAAACAATTTGCATAAATCATTTTATAGAAATACATTTTGTTGTTTGCACAAACATTTGCTTTATTCTTGTAGCCTTAGCTCCTCTCAATTTTAATGATAATGAAAAAAAATTTTAACTAAACTCTATATAGGTTCAAGAAAAAATATAGCTTTGTTTATTATTTTGGCACATCAAAATTATAGTATCTTGAGCAGCAATGAACTTTTACATAAAAGTAGATTTAAAAACTATATTCTAAACATTTATCTGCTGAGATCTGCCACATCAGTATATAATGCATGCCATTAGTTTTATTTCATGTAATCGAAATAAATTAGTACATTATGTATATTGAATTCAACCTCCAGCTTGCATAATGTGCTTATTTATGCACTTGTTTAATTATTTCAAACTAATATTTGAAAATAATTTTAACATTCAAAGATTAAATTGTGCTTTTCTAATCATTACAAATTAATATCTTAATTTTAGTATGTTAAAATTTGCAATGAACATATAGGAACAAATTAATTTGAAAAGGAAACTATAAAGTAGTGTATTTAAATATTTATTTTACATTAATTTGTTATCTGACTATTTCTCCCATTCTTGGAGGTTTAAAATTATTCACATGATTGGAATAATCCCTTCTTCCTCATTCTCTCGAAGGATTCTTCTGCATTGTAGGTCCTAAAATCAAGAAATGTAGTTTACTAATAAATAAACAAATAAAGTAAAACCAAAACTATGTTAAATAATATATTATTTTTGAAAATTTTCTTTTTGCCGAAAGAATTTTAGAAATTAATATGTATTCAAAATAAAGTTATGTTTGTCGATTTATTTATTGCATAAGCAATTTATAGGTATAGAATTAAAGTGATGAAGCAAACAAATAGCATAATCATTATTAGTGAAGGCACTGAATGTAAAAAACTACATTAACAAGATAAGACTTTAGGTATAACTATAACAACAAGATTATAGGTATAGAATTAATTTTATGAAGCAGACAAACAGCGTAATCATTACCCAATCATTATTCCATCCTTATTATTTCAGTCACTAAATGTAAAAGACTATAATGACAAGTTAAGACAAGAAATAAGAAACCTGTTCTTCTACAATGCTTTGCATTATATTGAATTATTTAGAATTCTATAGAAATAGAACACTGTTAGTTATCACACATTAGTTTCAGTCGCTAAAGATGGAGAATACATTAGTAATTAAATACTGCTCAAATAAAATCAAGTAGTATTGATTAACACTGAAATTTAAGAACTCACTTGTAGAAATCAGCATATTTTTGCTTCAATGGATCATTGTAGAATACTTTAAGACAAACAGCCCCTGTTAGAGAAACTGCCAAAGCAATTGGAACATTAACTTTGATTTGTTTGGTCAAAAGACCTCTCATTTGTGGCTTCTGTAAAACCATCTATATAGAAATAAAAAAATATTTAATATTAAAAAAAAACTTATTCCTACATTTATTACATAACAAATACAGAAAAATATAATAATAAAGTTAATGTTATGATATGTTGAATACCTTATTGGCAGTTTGAGTAAAATATAATAAAATAAGTTTGCAGGTACTGAAACCTTTAAAATAATGATTTACCTTTAGAATGGATATTATTTATTGCCGAAAGTGACAGAAAATGGCGGAATGACGTAAAAGCTAAAGAATCAAATTGCCAACATATGAAAACTGATACTTGATGTATAAATATGGGAATCAGGCAACACCAATTTTTACACGGAATATGATTTTTTTTTTGTATATGATTTAACAATTTATCTATAATAGAATTGCTTCGAATCAAACAAAAATATAAAATTAAGATATAGTTTATTAATATCATTTTAATTTGTCTAAAGTAAGTTTTAGTTGTTGTTGTTGCCACTGAGTTGTTATGAACAACTTCACGCTAATAAATTAACAAGCCCGCGGCATTTTTTTTCGAACCGTTGATTAATTAGCAAAACCAGTCGAACGGCTGTATTATTTATTCCGTAATCTATATTAAATGGAGAGCCGATTGCATTTTTAATATATTTGATGAATATTTTTTAATGTTCTGATTATTTTGTCTCGATTTTTGCATAAAGTAAAAAAAGCTTTGAAAGGTGGTATTACTTCAGGCGCTATTATTAATTTCTGCAATTCAGTTCTCACACTATATTTTTAAACAGTATGTCTCATTCATTCAAATAAAAATTAGAAAAGTAATTTAATGTCTGCAATATATAATTATATGAATCAAACTTAATTTATAAAATTTTGTCATTTTTGTATGAGTGTTCCAAACTAACATATTGATATTGTTTTACATACATACATGCAGTTATTGAAGAAATTACTGATTAAAAATTACATAGCTAGGTGTAAGTGGCATTTTACTTAAGGTAAGTCCCAACATGTGTAAATAATCGACTTAAAATAATCAATTAAAAATCCATTTTTTAATTTATGAGTATACCGAGTTGATTCAATTTTGCACAAATTTTCCAAATATGTTAGTTATTTTCGACAAATGGTTTAAATGATAAACATTAATAAAATACGAACACGTCTTAAACACGCAAGATTTTGTAAAATCATTGCCGATTAATCCAAACTTTAATTAATTTTTATAATTAAACTAGTTGTTGCAGGCCTCTATTATTTTAGTATATTTATTAACATCAGGACCTTTATAACGCCATAAGGAGTTTCATTAAAATCACAAAAACAAATTATCAATCAATTTCGAAGAAACGACCCGACCGATCTTTGTTAAAAAAATTTTTGTTAACCAACCAATTATTCCCAAATGACATCTTTTAAATAATTTTGAATTTTTGGTTCAAAATACTTTACGAAAACTTGGATAAAACTTTTCTGTTCAAGGAAACGCCTCGGCCCATCGTCTCAAAATTCAATTTAAATTTTTGAAATCGTTTTAGTCGTTTTTGAGAAAACGTCGACCATAGGTCAATTTTTGGCTCACATCACAAAAGCGCTGATCATTTTTTTATCGTATAGCCGTATCATAAAAATTCTTGAAATCGCCGAAATACCAATCAATTACGAAGAAACGACTCGACCAATTGTTGCCAAAAACTAATCCGCACGATTTTATCTTTCGAGCTTGATTCAGGATTTTTTGCCAAAACTTTTCTGCTTATTATAGAAAACGGCTTGACCGATCATCAGTTTTAGACTGATAAACGCGACTCCTTAAAGAGTAACTCAACTAATCGACATATTTGAATCATTTTTAGTTCACATCATACATCTATATTTTTCCCAATTTTAATCTCAAATAATTCAGAATGACTTAAAACGTTGAGAAAACTCTTAGAATTAGCAAATCGGATTTTCTGGTGAAAACATCTAATTTGGGTCGTTAATAATACAATTTTCTAACTAGTGGGGTGCATGGCATCGTGCCTTAAGGGAAATTGCTGGAACTTCCCGAACCGTAAATGAAAATCTCGGTACGGAACCCAAAAAAAATTACACAAAATGTGTACACATTATTAAAATCTCTATAAAATATCTGATAATTTGATGTACATATGACCAATAAACATTTTTGACCGCCAAATGACATTTTTTTAACTCTTAAAAACTGAGTTACCGTTTTTGGCACTTTTTGCCCCGTATCTTTGGAACGGCTAGACCTGCCTTCGCCAAAAACTAATCAGCACGTCTCCTTATCAATATGAATCGAATGTTTTTTGAATTATTCAATCGGTTCAATCGGTGCACCATCAATATGCGGTCAATGAAAACAAGCGAAATTTTGTTTGCCCAATGAAGGTGGTTACTTATTCGACGTTGTTTTTCGAACATAGCTGGAAAAATTGTAAGGCTTTAACTTCGATAATGAAAAAACGCATTGAAAATTGTTCAGTTTATTCAACATTTACATTAACTTCATATAAATGACCCTGTATAATTAACGTGATGTATCACCAACAATTGTATCTACTTAAAGTTGCACTCTTTTCAGTTTCTACTCGAAACCAAATAGAAATTTTTTTTCTGTGAAGTCACACGTATAAAATTGTCTGTGCTATTTTATTTACAATTGGCAATTATTTATTGATGATAAATAATATATTGCAGAAAATTTCTGATGTTTTTTGACAAAACGATAATCAGCTCTGTCTCTATAAGTCCAAAACACCTGCGAAGGCAATCCCCTCCGCCAAACCGAGCTTTCATATTTTTCGTTAATTGCTTCCGCACTAACCGTTTTACATGCACATATCATATATACATACATGTGTTTGTGCATGTGTGTGTATAATCAAAACAAACCTTTTCTAATGTTAAATTACATATACGAAACATTTTGTTGTTTGTTCTGAATCAATTTGTGCACTTGGACCTTTCCGTTTTATGAAAAATTGTTGATGAATGTTTAGTTATTGAGACATTTTGATTTTCTTGGAAATAGTTGAGATTTCAGAAGGAAACAAAATACAGTAGATCCTCGATTGACCTCCAATGTATGAAGAATAATATTGTGTATTTATTTACACATCTTAGAAATGGTTGAGATTTCAGAAGGAAACAAAATACAGTAGAACCTCGATTGACCTCCAATGTATGAAGAATAATGTTGTGTATTTATTCTACACATCTTGGAAATGGTTGAGATTTTAGAAGGAAACAAAATACAGTAGAACCTCGATTGACCTCCAATGTATGAAGAATAATGTTGTGTATTTATATACAATAACATACATAGATATCAACGAAAATAAATGTTTAATAAGAAATTAACATTTCCTTATGTATGTACATGCACATTTTCTTGGATTATTTTACATACATTTACTGTAGATACAAACATACATATAACTCTGTCGCGGTTGGTAAATCCAGATCATCGCGAATTCGTATAACTGAAGTCCGGATAATCGAGGTCCTACTGAAATTGGAAATTTAGTTTTGAATTAAATAACAATGAAATTTATATCCATTATTTGCACATTTTGTTGCATATGTATGGAAGTCAAAGCAACTTGCCTTAAGACAAAATGCCACTTACACCTAGTATTTCAAACTTACCGTAGGGTAAATTATTGTAATGTCGAAAAATCAAAATTAAAATTGTTTGAATATTTTACGTTTCAATGGTTTCTGAGCATTTTGGCATTCCTCAGAAAAAATGGATTGTGTGTGTATGTATGTGTCTATACTATTTTTCGTCGACATTTTTCGGCACCGCTCAACCGATTCGAATGATTCAAAAAGCATTCGGTCCAGCCGTTTCCGAAATACGGAGCAATGAGTGCAAAAAATGGAAATTGAGTTTTTGAGAGATCAGTGTATACTATTTGAATGATTAAAAAATCATTCAATTCGTAATGAAAAGAAGACATGGTTATTAGTTTCTGGCAAAGACGTTTCAAAGATAATGAGCTAAAAGTGTAATAAACGGCAGTTTTTGAGAGAACTAAGCTAAGATCCTTCAACTCCGCTTGATCAAGTTTTGATTCTTACTTTTCATGCAACAGATATAAAAGTCATCGTTCAATTCAAAAGCCTTCATCTGTTGTCTATAAAATACAAATAATGAAAGTTACAGTATCTATAATAATCTATTTGAAAGCATTTAATATTCCTCGAATATTTCATTACGGTACAGGAAGTTCCAGCAATTTGCACGATGTCACGCACCACTAGTTTATTTTAATAATAAGTGTTTATAACTCTATTTTTTTAATGCAAAAAAGAATGGGTTTCAGTTTTTTTTAATATTATTAATAAACAGTTCTGGCTCCATATTTAAAAACATTGGTTTATATCTACTTTATGCACAAATTTTGTGCATTGCATGAATCCTAAATTAATTAGATAATCAATTCAAAATTTTAATAAAGCTTTTCCAGTAAACTTGATCCTTTGATTTGTAAAGCGAATTGAAAAGACTCACAATTACTTAAAAGCAATGCATATTTGTTAAGGGGGCGTCTATAATCACGTGATCGATTTTTTTGACCCCTCATCCCTCTTGGTAATACGCGGTGATATTCAAAATTACCCCACCTCCTCCACCCAACATCAAATGTATTTTTTAATTACGCGAAAAAACTGTAATTTTTTAATTTTTTTTGGAAATGTTTGGATTTGTTTTTAAAAATCTCAGGTTAAAAATAAATACACGTGTTATGGACGCCCCCATGAATAATGTAGGTGGCTAAAAATGCTGCAAAGCGGAGACCAATAAAATTGGACGCCCCTAAAATATTTTTGCAAAAAATAATAGTAAGTTATAAATAAATTTTTACAAAGACTGCAAAATTTAATATATTTTTTTAACTCATCTTTATTATTCTATTAATAATTGGATAGATTCTGAATAAATATTTTTTATTATAAAAATATAATTATACTATTTAATGATATTTAATAAATATAAATATATATAATATATATATATATATATGTCGATAAAAGATAATTTGCACATAATGTGAAACCATTATGAATGATTTGGATTAATCACATTAACCAAATAATATTCCAATAAGAGCGCAAATTGGATTCGTATGCAATGTAAAAAAGCAACCGATTCTAATGAGAATCCGACAATCGAGTACTAATTTTCAAATTTTCGTATTAAAAGGTTCGCATTTGAATCACAA